GATGCCTGGCTAGCGAGGAACTGCTGGCGCTGGTGGCTAAAGCGGCCGTGATCCGCGCACGGTGCCTCGCATGAACCTTGCCTTCTGGCCAGGGTAGAAGCAAATGAGGAATTAAACTGTATTTTCATGAACTATTGCTTATTGTTTTTTAACAATGGCCAAGATCCTAATCTCTTTGGGTAAAAAAGCTGTAAGCTCTGGGAAAATGTATTGCCTCTGCCCTGTGTTTTGCATTACCTCCCTGGGGAAAAGCTAGTTAAAGCTCACTTGAGGCATCGAGCTCCTCATAAGTTATAAGGCTGTTTGTTTGGGCATGGCAATAAGTTGTATTATGGCCCCTGCTTGCTCTGCCTTCTATTTACACAACATCATTTTTCATTTTAATGGTGCTTTTTTCAGGCTGCTTTGTTAGGGCTGCTGCTAATTGGATTGGATTCATGTGCTCTTCCAGGACACAGAATGAGGCCAGCGCTGCTTAAATGAAAATGGTGAATTCTGCTGCCTAGTGTTTTGAATAGACATCTTCCAGGCTGGGGAAAGCAGGAAGAAGGGGTACTGTGGTGGCTGAGGAGCAATTTAGCTGCAAATTTAACCCTCTGTGTTTAGATTTTTTGGGAAAAGAGGCTTGTGGTGCTGGGATACACTCCTAAGAGCTGCAGGGTCTCCCCAGGCCTCTTGGTACTGGGGCACTGGGAAGACCAAGAGCCCCCTGGTTTCTGCTCCGCTTCCCAGGCCCACAGGCGCCCACAATCCCACTGCGTTCCCTGTGCCCTGGATGCAGGGTCCAGCCAAGAGTGTCCCAGGATGACCTGGGTCTTTAGATCCCAGTTATCCAATTCAGACAGAGAAAACTCGCCAATTAGTTGGACAAACAAATGTCTAGTGGACCATCCACTTGGAAGGTCTCCAAAAATGCAGCTCCTAGGCCTTGTTATATGGAGCAGAGCAGCCATCCCTGCTGCTGCCCCTTGTGCCAGGACAGCAGAGCCCACTCTGGGAGCACCAAAGTGTTTAATGGGTTTAGCTATTTAACACACTCAGCTGTGGGACTGGCCACCATCACCCAGAAAAACATGGAAAGGGTAATGTGGAAAAACAAAATCCTCTTTCTCACCCATTCAGATGAAATGGATGATAAAATCAGGCCACACATTTGAAATGGTCTTCAGCTGCGGTAGTATAGATATAAGAACTGTCAGGAAAAGCCAAAGTGGAAATTGGCCAATACCATAAACCTAAGTAGTTCACATCTGTAGGTGAGCAACAGAACAAGAAGGTTAGCAGGAGGTCAGAAGTACTGATTTATTACAATGCTTTTTTAAAAGGCAATTAACACTGCGTGAGAACTAATCCTTCCTTTTGAATATGCCGTTTTGTTTTAGAGTTAGTCACAACTAACTTTTAACTAATATCTTGGCCTACATGCCGTTTTGTTTTAGAGTTAGTCACAAGTTGGACTTTTAACTAATATCTTGGCCTATGCCATTGCTCTTCAATGGGATTGCTCTATGACAAGTAATGCTAGAGTAGAAGTCTTCAAAGATTTGAAGAATTGAAATCTGGGGAATTAATGCCATGAAATAAAAGGTGACCTCTGCTGCTTCTGTGGCACACGAAGGTTTTTGGTGAGAGACTAAAATTCTGAGAAACCTCATTTCAGGGTTTACCCTCTTGTGTGACTGATTTGGGGGTCTGTCATTGCCTATGACAAGCTATGGAAGTCCAGACTCTAGGTGAGGGCTGTGGTCAGCGATGGTGAGGAGCTCCTGGCCTGCTAACCCTGCTGCTAACCTGATTTCAGGCCCTCCATCTGGTATGTGGGACTGCCCGGGTGGGTGTGGAGGTCACACACTGGCCCAGGCCACCACTTGGGCCTTGGGTTTGAGCACAGTCATGACTGAGCCACACGGCGACAGGCTCCTGTTGCCACTTGGCCAGAGCAGAGCTGAAGCAGTTGTCACCAGTGTAACTGTCCTCGTGGTGTTGCCAGGCCATGATCTTTTCAGATGCTGATGTGCATCTCACTGCTGTGAGTGAGCAGGGAGGCCTTTTTCGGAGAAAGGGAGGGTGTCTCAGTGATTGCGAAGGGGCAGCTTTCTTGCAGCCTCCTTGTCTTGATGGCTGGATGGCAGTTTCTTACCCTTTGTCAAATCAGGCTGTCACTGACAAGGTCAGAAATTGTTTATTTTAAACACGATGAATATGCAGAAACTTGTCTAAGCTTCTCCATGCAGTTGCCATGAATTTAGAAGCAGAGTTAGAAATTGCAGCATTCAGTACCCTGCAAATGGGGTCAGAGCTATAAATTTCTGTTATTGGTCTGTGGGCCCTTTGCCATATGTGACTTCCTAAATTTGTGGTCATTTCTCTCTACCTGTGTGCACTGAATGTTTGACACTGAATTTTATATTGTCTCTGAGATGCAAAGTCCTCCTGATGCTTTTGCTCATCAACATAAACAGGCTGGTCCCTCTTGCTAATGGTTTGTGGCCACTGCCTGGTGCTTAACTCACAAGCAGCACCTGGACAGGCATAAAATGCAGCTCTCCCCAGATGGACTGCATTGGTTTAGAGGAGGGAGGGATGTGTGGGTGAGTAGGTGCAGTGCAGCTGGGGTAACAGCGTCTCCTGCCCGGCCATGTCTCCTGCACAGAGATCAGAGCTGCTGCTATCGGTGGCAAGCCCTGCCAAGGGCTTAAAAATATCCCTGAGTCTTTTCAAGGACAGTTATTATAAACAGAGGGGAAAAAACATTCAGATGGGCATCTAGGAGGAAGGATGGGGGTATGTTAAAAGTTTTCTTCCCAAAGTGGAGATCAGTTAAGCTAGGCAAGTTTGCTTTGTAGGGTGGATGGCAGCTAACACCTTTTCTTCCTGTGTGTTTCACTCCTCACCTCATTTTTTTTTTTTTTTTAAGATTTCCTTTTGTGCTCAGTGTGCTAGAATGAAACATTTACAATCTCTTCTCCAGAGCAAATGCTCCCAGCAGCAGCCTCCTCGGCAGGCCCAGCCCCTGCGGTTGCCTCAGAGGAAAAAAGAAATGCAGCAATAGGACAAAAGTGGGCTGTCGTTCAAGGCTGTTCTCAGATATGCCCATGTATTAAAAACGGTGCTGCTTTATTCTATGGATCTGCCCCCCAGGAGCCTGGTGAATCACTAAGTCAGCAGATACAACTAAAATGTTCTTTAGCTGATTTTTTTTTAATCCTGTTGGCACAGCAGGACACAAACATGAAAATAAACTATACCAACAGGCCTGTTGATTAAATTCTGGTATTGTTGCAGTGGGGCAACTCCATTGAGGCTGCTAGGCATATTAACACCAGAGGAAAACATGAAAAATGTGGATTGCTGCTGCACCTGAGGATTCACACTTTCGCTGCAGGTTCTTTGTTACTGACAATGATACATTGGTGCCATCAGGGTCTGAGCCCAATTAAGAGGGAAGAGAAAGGCATTTGATAAAACTTGAAACTGCACACATCTGAGCACAGCTGCTGTGGTCCCCCACTACTGATTTAGAGTTGCTTTTTTTCCTCAAAGCAAAGGTCCCCAGCAAACTCATACAATTTTTTTTGTATTTACTCATCCCAAGCCAGAGGAGTGAGAGCCAAATCCTGTGGTTCCCCTGCACATGTGGTAACTGGAGTGACTGCTCCCAAAAGGACTATTCAGGATGAGGTTTCTGTGCTTGCTAAATGTGGACCTTCAAACCTTTTCAGCTTAATCCTGTTCCAAATATATTTGCATTTTTCAAAGAGATTTCTGGTCTGTTTGGCTGCTGTTAACAATCTGAATATTTGGAGCATCCTGCATCTTCCATCAGGAGGATGCTTGTGATCCTGCAAGGTACACACAAGCACAGGGAATGATGCATTAGTGGGTACAGTATGACTTGGCTGAAGTTAATTTTGTTGAACTTACCATAGACCGCAGCTCTTGACTACATTAGAAGCAATAAGTCAGCCCATCTTGTCCTCCCTTGCCCCCCTGCCACTGCTTGTCCTACTTGGCTGCGTAACCACATCTCAGCACCATGTCCTGACTCTATTGCCCAACACCAAGGTGCTTTTTCAGCTCGTTGTGTGGCACTAACCAGCTCTGGCAGCAGAGGGGAGCGCAGGGTTCACTCCCATGTGCATTTTTTTTCTGGCTCAGGAGTTCAGTTGCCCATCCTAAGGCCCAGCCAACTCATTTTTTTTGCTGGGATAAAGCTTCCCTTTGGGCATAACTATGGTGATGTAAACAGCAATCCTTGTGCCTGCAGGGGTGAATCAGGACTCTTACTCTGAGATACAGACATGGATTAAACACATTTAGCTCCAAGTCTGCTTTCCAACTAACCACAGCAGCAAAGTGTTGGGTGCTGCAGTATCTCCTTGCAATACAACTGGGTCACACTCATTTCTCATAGTTACTCCTGCTGCTAGTAGGACACCTGGGGACCAAGAACTGGTGTTTGTGCCATCTTAGGGTATTTGAGGGAGTGGGATGCTGACAGCAGCTTTAGACAGAAGTTATGAATTGGTAGCGTCCAATTAAGAAGTTAAAGACAAAATCCTCAGGAGGTTTATTTGTAAGCAGCTTAATCTAGGAATGCTGGTGCCCCAGGGCAGCTGGGTGGGCTCCCTCCCCTCCAGCTCTGCTCAAGGCCTGAGGACCCGAGTGCTCCTTGGCTTCCAGCTTGAGTCGCTCCCCTGACTTGCTCATGTAGCTGCCCTCTTCTCTAAAAGTGTTCACAGAATGGTGGATGATCCAGTGGTGCTCAGCTGTACCATGTCTTAAGGATCCCATCCACAAAATAAAGTGGCATTATGTTATACCTGGACACACTCTTTTGTTTGCCATAGAGTTTTTCAGCATTACAAAGAGATGCTTTCTCTTTCTATCCCTCATTAGCTTCATTCTGCCATTTAACCAGAACAGATCGGGAACGGGTCTGCATTTCCCACTGTGCCCATAGTTTAAAAAGTATTTGAAACCAAACTGAACTTTTCAATTCTTACTGAGCTTAAAAATCTAGCATGAAGCTACCATTTGATTTCTTTATTTCAGAAATGATACAGCACTTGCCATTAAATTCTTGTTCTCTCCAATAGCAGCTGAGCCACTAAACTGATGACATGTGGATTAACCAAACAGTCCAGCAAATCATTGGTAGAAAGGGCTGTTTCTGAGGCATTTGGACTGCTGTCTGAATCCATTTGATTTGCAGGCGTTTCACAGTCATTACTCATTACCAATTGCTTCCTGGCGCAGTGTAATTTTCCAAAATGTCCTCCTTCATTTCGCTGGATAAGATCTCTATAGTCACTTTCAACTGCTCTTGCACCCATTGAGCTTGTTTCTTGAGATTGTGGTAACACTTGAATAAGATGAGGGCCAAAAGGTATTTCCTGAAACTTTTCTGCCTTAACTGTTGAACAGTCAGCTTCATGGGTTACTAATTTGCAGCCCTCTGGTTCAGGGCCAACTTGTCTTTTCTTCCTCTTGCGTGAGGCACTTGTCACTCTCTCTGCATGAATGCTGCTGGGAGGTACCTGCTCTGACACACTTGTCTTTTGATGCTTGAAATATGCAGACACTGCTCTATTCAGGTACTCCAGATTGATGTCATGGGAGGTTGCCTCAACCTAAGAAAACACCCAGAATGCATTCAGTTAAAAAGAGCTATATCTCAACTCAGCACTGTATGATTATCTCTTCTGAATTACTCTTTGGTACATGAAGGAAAAGAATTTAATTTTTTTAGGAGATAGAAAGACTTGCAAGGAGTTGAGCAGTAATTCCATCCTACCACTGCTACAAGAGCAGGAGAGGGCTTACCTCTGTGGGATTTAGCCACAGATCTGCATTGCTGGGATTTTCTGCTGATTTTATGGCACACACCAGTGTTCGAGTTATTGCTTCTTCTACACGGGCTTCATGGTCTGCATCCTGCCTCAAAGAAACAAAGTGTTTAGAGACAGTGGTACCTGCAGAACGCTGGAAGATCTTGAGGAGAGCTAAATGGATGGCCTTACTTTGAAAGCCATACTCATTTATACCAAGTCAGTGAAAGGTTGTGGGCTTTTGTAGCTCCTTACTCAAGAATACAACCCTCACATAAATAACAGCCCAGGTTTTGGTGCAACTACTCATCTGAATAAGGATTTGCAAAACATAAGATTTGGGTGTATATATAATCTTTCTTCCTAGCAGTGTTCTGTTAATTGAATCTGGTGCTTCAAATTACTATGCAATGTTAGCATTTAATTAATATATGCATTTATATGGCTAGGAGTGGAAGAACCATGAAAGTACTTAGCAAATTTTATACAGATCTATATATTATGTCTAATTTAAGTACTTAAAATACAAAGGATGTTAACAGCAAGTCAGCAAATACCTGGGGGCTGCAGAAGCACAGAAGTGAGTCTTAGGAAAATTCAGGAGATGTATTATCATGTATCACCATGACACTAAGACACTGGTATACTTCTTACATCGCCCTGGTAGGCAGTTGGGTGCTAGCTAGTTTAGGGCAGCAAAACAAAACTTTATAGGATTTTTTTTTTGCCTTCTCTTTTGCATTTAACTGGGTTTTGTGTGTGGAAGAAAAGGATATATGGAGAGGAGGCAATGAGACTCTAAAGACATGATTTAGTTATCTCAATGACAGCTGCCTAGGAGTGGATGCATAAATCTGGCCTTGTTTAAGTGCTTGGAAGACAGGTTTTGAAGGAAAGACAACTTAGCCAACAAACAGCCCTGAATTGCCTAACTCTGGCTTTGGGGAACATGTCAAGCAAACCATGTATCTTGCCAGCAAGTGTATTGAAGGCAGTAATTCACCCTGGATCTCTGAGATAGAAAAAGGGGGAAACTGCTCTTAGCATTTTGTGACTCTGGGTGTTCTGCTCATTAATGGCTTTGCATAACAGATCCCTAACACTCTAAAAATTCATCTGTGTTGCACTCCTGGGGTTTGTCTTGGCCTGCTGCGTAACAGGGTCACTCTGGCTGTGTGAGTGTTAGGAAGCAAGGCATACTTGGAAGAGCTCACATCCAGCTGAAAGCAACTTCTACCCTAAAGTCCTGCCAAAATAATTAATAATTTTATTAGGACTATCAATGTTGGCATAATTAACATCTGTCCATATGAAAGCAGCTGGTGACAGCTGCAAGTGAGGGAACTGCTTGTTTGGTAATGGAAGTAACCTCATTTCTGATATAGTTGTTGTAAGAGACATTTTTTTATACATTGTACAACCCAACATATAACAAATGGTTCCACCATGATATGCAGGGCTGATATCTGTAAGGAACTTTGATGTGGGTCACAGTGATTACACATCCCCCTTTCTAGGGTTTATCTTGAATGCTACAATGCAATGGATTTATTTATCATAGTTATGTTTTCTTTGTTTTGTTTGTGGCAGCTTCTTTTAGATCACTCATTAGTAATATCTAAGACATGTTCTCCAAGACATGGTCTCCTTTTCCCAATGCTATCTACGTATAGTTACCTGATCCCAGTAGGGCCAAACAGGATCTTGGTGATATTAGCAAGACCTTTCTGACTGGAAAGGCCACATAGTTACACTTCCCCCCTCTACATCCCCAGGAAGAAATGTTATCACCAACACAAAACACAACCACTTGGGAGTTATCAGCTTAGCACAATCCTGACCTGCTCCTCCAGAAGGGGATAATTTGATATGCAGCTCAGGGCACAAGTTTATGCTGGTGTGAGGATCAAATTTAAGGCAGGCTTCAATAGCTGGTCTATAATATCCTATGAGCCTTCTCTGGAATTGTGCATGGTCTGAGTTTTCCTAAGGGATTAGTAAAACCTTAGTGCAGGCTCCAAGTCTGTCATTTCTAAATGTGTAGTCTCACATGGACATTTCCTCCATGAGAGACCCAAGAACATCTCTTGATTTTGAAATCTTGGTTTAAGGGGTAAGAACTATCTTGTGTAGCCCAAACAGCAGCTGAATGGATGAATTCTCTCACCCCCTCCCCCTGCTGCAGGTTTTTGACCTAATAATGGTGTAAAAAATAAAACAGCATTTTAGTGAGGCATCTTTCAAAGGCCATTTCAAAGAGCTCTTTTATAAAGCTAGGATTAATGATTAAAATAGTATGAATGAAAACCTGGGATGTTGAGATGAAATTCTTGGAATGCCCCCATGCACACAAAGTAACATGAGCAGGAAAAAGTCAGAACTGTAACAGAAATGGGAATTCAAACACATGGTGTCACTCCATTCCTATCACATTAACCTGACTTATTTAAATCCTGACTTAGCATTCCATGCAAGTGTGTGCTTGAGGTGAAACTGTTTTGTTAAACCCTATTCAACACAATGACTACTAGTCTATCAGAAGTCAGACATGAAGAGTTTAACATGTATTTAACTGTTCATTGGAATGAGCTAAAATTAATGACTTTTTTAATTAGAGGTAGTTTTCTCTCACTTTCTCTTGCCAGAAACATTGAATCTAAAGCCAATGTCAAAGCATAGCTGTGTTTCAGTGGTGGTCAATAAGGTGCTCTGGGATCCCTGAGGATAAAAGACACTATGTAAATGTAAGCTTAACACCACTGAAACAACTCTGAAGTGGCTCATGAGGTTATCAGATCTGGGGTAGGATTTTGAATGTGCAACACAGTGTGTTTCCTACTTGTTAATATACAGAGACATGGAAGTGCTACATCACCCCGACAAAGGCAAATACCAGTTCAATCCACGAGTTTACGCTGACAGTGACAGGGTCAATGGATTCCACATAGTGCCACCAGTGCCTTGGAACAAGCAGGACCTGAAATCAAGAGACATTACACAGAATCTGAGTATCTGCACACCTCAAGAAGACAGTGACTCCCTCAGGCTGATGGGGTGGAGAGGCGGAATGTGGCAGGGACGGAGGTTGGAGGTGAGAGGTGATCTTTATTTCTCTCTTCTAAAGAGCCTTCCCAAGCCCCAAATGTCCACTCCCTTCTCTGGTCATATCAGTATCTAGTATATGAGAAGTGGACACATGATCCAGACCTGCTCATTCCAAACCTTCTCATGCAAAGCAAGGCTAAGCTCATCGCACAAAGCCCTGCCATATGGAGGGACTGTAGCTGCTGTCGCAGCATAGCAGGGCTTCAGAGTCTCATCTAAGCCACGTGGTCTTTTGTAGAGTCTCCGACTGAGCAAACTTCCCAGCTCCTTTACAAGAACTGCAAGGTGACTTCATCAAAAAGCCAGTGTCCTAATGCTCACTGGGGATTAGCAATGTGTAGCTGCAATTCTGGTAAATATTTATGCTTTTAAAAGAAGATACTCAGAAATCATGATGATGTAGTTTAGATTGGGGCTTTGTAAACTATCAGCATGATAGGTCTGACACAAAATTGATTAAGCCATGGCTTTTACGGTCTAAAGACATTAATGTTTTGATGATATAGCACAAACCTTATATTACTGAACATTAGATTATGTTTTCCTTGATAGCATGGTGTTAAAGATAGTTTTTAACAGAGAATGAAAATGGTCAGAGATGGGTAAAAATATTTCAGAATGGGGAAAGTAAAATAGTGACCTGTGTCTGGATCACAGCTTGCTTTCCCCTCCTCCTCTCTCCTTGGCAGACACAAATTATTTATAAGAATGACCTGCTAGCAAGATAACCTGACTAATCAGAAAATGTCTGTGCCAGAAATGGTGACTGTGGCCCTAATCCCACAAATGCTTACAGGACACCCAGAGCAGGAGTTAATTTTGGACCACTGGACAAAATGCTTTTTGCAGGTTTCAGTTTAAATCAAAGAGGAGAAGAAAAAGAGCAGCATACCTCTGAAGGTCAAAAACAATTAAAATATTTTAAACCAGTACAGTATACAAAATAGAGGAGGAAGTAATTAGGAGAGGAAAAAAAATCAGCTGTTGGTGGCACAATATAGGCCTGCCACTAAACAAACCAAACCCTTGCTTAATTAGATGTGATTGCAAACATCAAAAGCAATTAGCCATGTTTGGAACTACCAGCAATGGATCACACTGCTTAATGTGATATCTAGTTATCCAGGAAGTTTTTGCAACTTTGAGATGCTCTGTCAAACAAGGCAGGATTTAGCTACAAATCTGAGTATCACCAAGACAGGCTGTTAAACAAGACAGTGAAAAGGCAGAACTGAAAGGCAGAATGATGGAAAACACATGGGTTTGCAGACACACACACACAGGTACAGGGCTCAGGTTTCACCAATCTCAGTATGTGCAACAGATCATTCTGTGAAGGGCCATTACTTACAAAAAAAACACCGACAATTATTTATTCCTCACATCTAAGAGGGCGTGAAATCCTCCAGAGGCTGATGCCAAAACATGGTTTCTATGCTGAACAAGCTTCAGGGTATCACTTCCATCACAGAAACAGACGTTTTGTTTAATCAGCAGCGTAGCTGCACTGGACTTATCTGTGAGCAAATGTGTGCACACATCACTGACGGAGGAATCGAACGGGTGGAAAAATGAAGGCTCACGTCCTGCATTGCATTTGTGTTAAAGAACCTGAGAGCTCCCTCATGATGGGGCACACTGAAGTCTGGAAAAAATTGCTATAGAGTAGGGGGAAGGATATTTTCTCATATAATTACCTGTTTCTAGCAGCTGGGTGCTTACTAAGACTCTCATGGGAAGAGTGAATTTGCAATGTGCCGGAGATGCGGAGGTATGTGCTAGGCAATGGGGGTATGGTAAAGAGGTAGCATGTAGCAGGGGAGCAGTGGTATGAGATAAATCCAGGCAAGTGTGCAAGTGTTTCAGTAAGAGGGGTGATCTTGGAAAAAAATGGAATTCAGGACTGGAACCCAGTGCTTGTGCAAAGCAGAGGCAGAAATATAATCAGGAGCAAAATACGTAACCCCCCATCTAGTCCATTTTTCTCAAATTGAAGAGGAGGAGCCAGGTTTTTGGAGAGACTGATCTGATTTTACTTGAGGTAATAATTGCAGAAGTTGTGTATTTCTGTATCTGCCACTGTTTGATGCAATTTATAGAGGAGCTATAGAACTGTGACCGTAAGAGGCAAAACAGATACCATAAAAAGGGGAAAGCAAGTATCTTTAACAAGCTTATACTTGTTACAGTAAGGATTTATGGCACAGAAAATTAAAACTATGAAAAGGCAAAAAAGCTAAAATTCTAAGGATGATGAAGAAATGGGAAAAGGCACTTAAAATACAGATGGCAAGGGAGAAGCTAAACTTAGCTGAACACAAAGTAGTCCTGCAAAGACAGAGTAGGATTTGTCTTGGGTCCAGCTTTGCAAGCTAGAAGCAAAAATTATCTGTCAACAACACAGTAAAACAAAGCAGGCTTCCATATATTTATGAAAATGAGATATAAATTTAACCAAACCTTAAACTACATTTCAGTAGGAAATGTAAATCATGATGAAATGGGGGAAAAAAAAAAGTTGCAAGTAGAATTTTACAAGGGAAAAGTGAGGCGCAAAAACAGGACAGAAGATTCCAAGCTAAGAGAATTCTGTGCTAGCCTGCTTCCTACTCAGTACACTTAACTGCATGAGTTGGAGGGATCTAAACAGCAACCAATCAGACAATTTTAATATTTAGGCTCATGATGGGCAAATATAGCAGGCGAAGTCAAAGAGGACAGAAATCCCAGAAAAGATAAAATGAAATCCTAGACTATAAGAGGAGAAAATGCAAGAGTTGCATGAGAGAGTTGGGAGAGTAAGTGGAGCAACTCTGAAGACCTGTACAGCAAAGAACAGGTTTCAGTTCTCAATGGGAATGATTAACTTGATACAGTGAAAAGGTAGAGCAAAGGTGGAATTGCCTCAAAAAGACAGAGCATACCCTGAAGAAAAATGTGTCCCAAGAAATTTCTGTTCAATAGAAAAAGATGCTTAGGTAACTGCCCAAGAAAATGAAGGACAAAAGAATGCGAGTGTGATGAGGAAGGGTGGTGATGGGTGAAAAATTGCTTGCACCTGTGGCAGTGAAAAAGAAGATGGACAACTAGCTTTGCTGCTAGTGCTCCCTCCTCAGTGAGCCCCAAGCTGAGGTTTGGAGCAGCATGAGGAGCAATCCCTGGGGTCCCAACACCCCCAACTGATGTCCTGGCCTGGTGGGTTCCCAGCTGCTAGAAAGGAGCCTCTCAGCTTTGCTTATGGCCTGGTGCCTTCCCCCACTGAAATGCAGAGTCCAGGGTCACTCGAGGCAGAAGTACCCTGAGAAGAGACCCTGAACAAAAAGGGAATTACTGGATTGTTGGGGAAGCAGGAGAAGCTGAGGGATCAGGCGGGAGAGCAGATTCAGGAACCAGCAGGTTTCACCTTTGGTTTGCTTGACCTTCAGGGAAGTGCTTGAGGGCTCTGTGCACTGCAGACTAAGCTATTTCTTTTAATTTTTTAAATAAGCAGTAATATGGTAATATAAGCTCCATTCCTGCACTTCTCTACCTCTCCTCGGATAGTGTTGATACCTTTGGTAACTAGAGGATCAGTCAGACTCTCTGCTGTGTTCATTAGAGTCTTCTCTATGGATGGTTCAGGGTTAGCTTGGTGGTTTCATACACACAAATCCTCTCTTCCTTCCCCACTTCCCCAAGAGCTATCAACCGTGTGCTACACACAATGGCGCCTGACAAGTCTCAATTCTCTTTTGACTAAAATTATTTCAGCTCTTCAACAAAAGCAGTTTTTCATCGCAGTCCCTGACTTACTAGATCCTTCTTCATATCACTTATTTCTCTTGATTGAGCCTGACTGTTGTGCTGTTCCCCACTTTGAGGCCAATTTGAAGTGCTCATGCCCTGCCATCCCCATTAAACAAAAATAAATAAATAAAAGGTTGCACACAGGTAAACTCCTGCTGACCCCATGAACACTTCTGCTTGCTCAGGACTGGATTGGAAGTCAGATCTGCTTATGCTGTCCTGAGTTCTGGCTGCTGAGCAGCATCCTATAGTGATACTTGCTGCAGTGAGAGCACAAAATGCAAAAACCTCGTTGCTGTACACAGAAACTCAGTGATAGGTGTAGCTGTGGATACGTATTTAGAGATAAGTTTCTTTCCATGTTTTGAAGGAAAGGAAGCAAAATCAAGTGGGAGCAGAAGCTCCCAGTGAAAAGCAGAGACATGTAATGAAAAATGTTGGTAATCTTTCTGATTATTCTTCTTAAAGCCTGATAATACTCTTTAAGGACAAAAGACAGCATCTTTCTCAAAGCTGAAGGGCCTCTGCTGAATCAGTGAAGCTTTTCCTCTCATCTTGCCTGTCTAGAGTCCCCTTGAAGCAGACACAGGGTCACGGAGCAGCAGGGCAGGCTGCAGGGCCCTGGTGTCCCCCCTGTTCAAGGTGCTGAGGGAGAGGTGCATTTCTCCCATGAGCTTAGGCTACAAGGTGCCTCTGCATTAGGAGGGCACACAGGTGGAGTCCTCCTGTGCCTGCCCAACCCAGATGCACTTTTTACAGTTTTTAAAATCATTTTCTAGTGACATGAAGATGGATTAAGAGAAAGATGGACTGAGAACAGTTACATTAGTGAGCAGGAAGGAAGCAAGAAGTAAGTGAAAAATGGGCCTGAGGAGAAAATGATAAATGATTTTTGAATTGATACAGCATCTCACTTTTTCACAGCCTTTTCAGGTGGGATTCATCTCACCTATTTTTAATAATCAAAAAGTTAAGCATTGACTTGCATAGGCTCCTTTTTCAGCCTGTGCAAAAGATGGGACAAGATGGGATGAATGGTCCTGCAGGACACTAATTGTGTAAGACAGGCAGAGTGAATTGCCCCATAGAGGTGTCAGGTTCTTCCCACTGACGACAGCCAGGACATCTGTCCTGGAAAGGCTTTAAGGTGAGGGTGATGGATCCTGCCCATTCTTAGCACCTGTCCCAGAGACATGAGGAAAGCTACAAGTGGAATATATTAAAAGGGACATATTTTGTCTTGTTTACAGACTTTTAAGTAGCATTTTGTTTTTGTGAAAACAATCAAGTTATTACTAGAAATATAACATAATCTATGAACAAAGAGAACAAGATACTAGTGCTTTGGGTGAACACTCACTAGTTTGGTGAATACAAATTCACCTACAGTCACCTTCCTGTCCCATACTTAGCACTCAACCTCAACACCATCACATAGGTGACCAGGTCCATATGTTTATAAGGAGTCCCTACATCTGTGTGAAAAAACTTGTAACTTGGTGAATTTAGTGATGTTCAGCTGTAAGTTCTGGACTACTTAGCTGCCAATTTAATTAAGTTAGATATCTAAACATTATCATAATTTGCATCCAGAATAGATCACTAGTGTATAACAAAAAGCTGCATTAAGACCTCTGTGGAACCATGCAGCCACTTGTCAAGTAAAGCACAGGAAAATTTATAAACACCTAGAGTTGTCAGCTAACTATTTAAATTGATAACTAAGATTTGCCTCTGAAGAGTAGTGAAAGGACACAAAGAATGCACTCGAAGTATGCATTGTGCATTGGTACAATGTTACATGGAAGAATTATGCTTCAAAGCCTTAAAGGGTTGTAGAAAACGGTTTGTAGCGAACACAGTGAGGCACAGTGACCAGAAGGTGGCATTAGACACATGAAGTTTTTGATATTCAAAGCTGCACTCACCCTACATGTAATTCCTCTCCTAAATACCTAAGAACACCTTTGTCCTTATCTTTAAGCCTGGTACTGTTACAGCATATAATCCAAAACATTCTGCTCCTTCCTTGGGAAGGAGTGGAGATGCTGTAAGTTACTGCAGACCAAAGCTGGCTGCAAATCCTGAAGTAATTGTATTAATTCTACCTGAAGGCCAAAACTGAGCTTGTATCAAAACCGTTATTTAGGGATCCTCTCTTGTCAGCAGAGGAATTCTTAGATATTCCTTTCCTCTCCATCAAACAGTAGTAGTCTGCAGCCAGCTGCTCCATAAGCTTCTGGATGAGAAGCTGGAAAGTACTGCTCAAAATGTGCTGGTAAAATGGATGAAGGGAATACCTCACAGCTCCATCATTGCCTACATTACTTTCCCCCCAGAAATCCAAATAGTATCTCCTTCATGACAATACAGAGAACTTATATTACTGAGCTGTCTCAAGGTCTTTGTTCCTAGCAAGATTAATTTGTAATTGCTGTAAGCCTAATTAAAATTAAGATCATATTAAAGTTTCAATATCATACTTGATCATTCCAATGCATATTATAAATTGAAATAGTGTTGGGGATCATAGATAATGCAGTGCTGAGTGGATGTGGCATTTTCATCAATAGTAAAAATTTGTTCTTTGTACTTTAAATTATTAAACACTCACCTTACAAAGTGCAGATGGTAAAATTAATCATTTTGCTTTAAGATTATGACTAGAAGTTAATGTATTGCAAACAATAGTTGATCACAGATTCCTTTCCATTTGCAATGGTGCAAGCAGAACATACAGTTCCCAGGTAACACATGACATCCTCTTGTTGGAAACTACTACCCTGATCCAAATCCAGTTCACAGGGCTGCTCCCTACTCTGTCTCCCCCAGATTAGCTGGATTAGCAAAATCTGTAACTGTTGAAGGCAGCTAGGTTTGTCAACTAGGAGTTAGTGAACACTTGTACAAGTCACTAAGATGGCAGCTCAGGAGAAAATCTGGCAGAAGAATGGTGAAAAGGTGCTAGAAGTGGCAATCACATTGTCTTATATTGTTGGAGCAATGCTTTATTACGAGTGTTTTACCAGGACATGTATGGCTGAGTGAGTGGAAGAGGCTAAATCGGACTCTAAATACAGACTATGCTGATTAAAGGAAAGGAAATTATTAATGGCAGCAGAACCAGAATTAACAGTTCTGAGTCCTGCCCCCATTCTGCTGCTGACTGCCTGTGTGACTTGAGCCAGGCACTTTTAACTAGACTTTCTCATGAAAAGAGGGTTATAATATCCTTACATCCTTATAAAGTAGCATGAAACCTCTGGATGGTGTGCACTTTAAATGCAAGTATCATCACTATAAATATTCAGCTATTAAAGCAACAAGTTGGGCCAGTGTTCCCTGGTGAAGGTTATTCCTCACTATCAAAATATAAATGAGTTCCTTTGCTGGCTCTACATGCTCGTTAATCAAATATATTTTATGCAAAATACAGGTTTCGGAGTAGAGAGGTTGGAGTACAGCTCAAGAAAGTTTCTATACTTTAAGGCAGATGACACTGGGAGTGACTGCAATAATTGTTATGGAGTTGAGGGGCTACTGAATTAACTCTCCGTATGTTTGCAGTTTCTTTATGTAAAAGGCTAGTAAAATAATAACCAGGTTATTGAGAAAGTTTGTGTATCCAGAGAAATGTAGACTGAGAGAAATATAGTCAAATTGTTACGATTTCCTAACCCTAAGTAATATAAATCGTTTACTAGAAGCTTTAAAGTAACATAAAGCGTATATGTGAATGGTACCTGTCCTGGACTGAGCGTAACCACGTGGGCTGTTGCATTCCTGAACTCAGGAAAGTGTTTCAGATCAGGTTTGGCAACATTGACTTTGCTGAATATGCTGGATTCCTCATAAGGGATCCTAGTAGGATAAAGGAAACTGGTGTCAGCAGGTGGGAAGAGGTGCCATCTTTTCCTGAAAATAGAGGGAAGATAAAAATGTATTCAGTGCATGTCAGTTAGAGCGAAGAACTAAAGGCAAAAGCAAGTATTTCAATAAAACATAAATCTGTGAATCTCCTACGCAGTGAGAACACAGGCAGTACTTGGCTGTCTACAAAAAAAAAAAAAAAAAAAAGTGTTTTAAAAATATTCCGCTTTTTAATTTCATATTAAATATTCCATTTTTAATTTTTAACTGAAAAAATTAGAGCTTCTCACCAATTATTTTTAAAAGGCAGATTAACTTTTTTTAAAAGCTCTTCCATCTGGTTCTTCCTTTCTCCCTTTTGCAGAGCAATGTGTAGCATTTACAGATGCTCAAGAAACTCATTAAAAACCTGACACTTGTCCTACAAACCAAGGAAAACAGTTTCATTAGGGACACCACACTATTGTTCACTGAATAAATAAGTGCAGTATCCATATTTTAAAAGGAGGCACTGTGTGTTTGTGTGTGTGTGGTTTTGATGGTAATAGTAAAAGAGTATGAACTTGATCTTTTATTTCCTATCATCACATGCATTACTCATATTCCTCTACTAGCCACAGAACTCTCATTCTTAGTAAAACTCACCTTGAGGTTCCCACGCTGCAGTTATGACAACTGCATAAAATCAGAGATACTTAGACATAAGCATCCCAAGGAAACCTCCTTTTTCTAGGGTGGTCAGCACCACCTGCTGAAATTGTGGCTTGTGTGAGCAGTTGGTATTGAGAAGACAACTTGTGTCAGGCTGTTTTGCTCTGCGACCAAAGGAACAGGTCTACATACCCCAGTGCAGGGCTAAGTGGAAGGGATGGACTGTGTCTTCTTTCCAAGCAATTATCCCTATTTTGTTTATATAGATCAGTGCAACAGAGACCCATGCACTGAGCAATGGGAAAGTAAAGGCAGGACTCTGCAGCGTGTTCGGGTAACTTGTGCAGCTCACCTCCTCTAGCTAGGTCTTTTCTTTTTGTTTCTTTCTTTGCTTTTTGTCTGCTGCTTCTGGTTGTCAATTCTAGGTCAGATTTGAAAATGAGAGAAAGGCAGCCGCATGGCATAGAAACTGAAGAGGTAGGAATAGCAGGGTAGCCAGAACTGCAGAAATTGGTACAGATGAAAGTGCCACAGACCACTGACATTTCTTGGTAATTACCGAAGTTTTTACTGGCTGAGAACTCAATAAATAGTTGGCCTGAAATCTAAGCTCTATTGCAATTTTAATATTTACCTTCCAAACGAGATCCTCAGGAGAATGACTAGGTTAGGAGACACATAGGTTAATCCTGTAGGCTCATGACAAAGCAATACCCTGAAGCAAAAAATTATTAAGAAGCCTGAGGGATTCAAGGAGGAAATTCAAGATAGCAACTAAGGGCTAAGGAGTGGGCCCTGACTTTCCTGCAAAGGCAAATCTATTTAAGTTCAGCATAAGCTTATTTTCTGTTACAAAGCTGGTCTTGTTTGTGAGTCTCAAAAGGCTCTGCAGCAGCACAGGATTCACAAGCTTGTATAAGTTTGCGCTCTATTTATAGGTTTTGATCTAAAGAGGGAAACAACTTTGTTTTTTCAGGCCATGAAAAGGCTTTCAGCTTCTTTCTTTAAGAAGAACCAGGATCTGGGTCCCTCAGAGGTGGGGGAGTGCTTTGAAAAGGAGGGCAAAATTGCAACATGATCCTAGCACTCTGGCTCAAGTTCAGTACCTGAAGGTAGAGATCAACAAAGTAGGGTGGGTGTCAGGTCTGCTGGATTAATGTTGTGTGGATTCCACACCCAGTATTTAGGCAGAAATAAGATATTCAAGGACATAAGCTTCATGTTTTTAAGTTAGATGTTTGGTTCCTAAATATATTTAAGTGTCTGGACTTCCAATGGGTAATGCTTGCTAACGTGATTTGAAGTTTATGGCACTGGCTGTAGCAATAGATATGATGTAGAGTTGGGCTCCCAGACTGTCTCTGCTGCCCTTTCCACCTGAGAAACTCGAGACTGTTTATAAAAATGAATGGAAACCCATGTGAGAGCTAAACAGAATTACCCTTCTTACAGATAAGATGATGAAAAATTCATTTGCCTCAGGCCTTAAAGCCAGTCAATCTGCTGCAGAGCCCAGCGTGGAAGCCAGGCTTGCCTGACTTCCAGTCCTGCACCTTAATCACACAGTGGCAACTTTTTTTTTTTTTTTTTTAATAAATCACACTAGAGTGATTAACCACATTAAAATCCCACTGGCAAATTATTCCTTCCCTTATAAACTATCAAACCTAAGAAAAATACACAGCACTTCCTTTGTTACGCTAACTCTAGTAAAATCAATTTTTAAAAAAATAAGGCAAATAGAGAACGGAGGCAAAACAAAGAAAAAAAGAAACAGTTTGCAATCAGGCAGAAAGAAATGCAACAAAGACACATGCTCTAAAAATGAGTTTGGAGCCTCAGGTGTCCATTTTAACTTTGCTGACAGTTGTCTGCTCCCATCTGATGTTCCTCTTATAAATTAATTCTAGCAGGCTATTAGAAGCTCTTGCACAGAGAATACTGTAAGCTGGAAGTGGTTTATTTCTGTCTTGTTTCTGTTTTTTTAACTCTTTACATTCTGATTCCAACTTCCCAAATTCACAACCATTAGGAAGGTTAGAATATATATTATTTGGCATATATAACGCACAGATTAGGAACAATATTCTTCCTCAAATAGAAGAAAATAAAATTATATGGACATAATAAAATTATGCCCAAATAAAACTCTAACTTCCCAAATTTCCATTTCTAATAAAACAGCTTTGATATTCTTCAGTCTGATAGCTGAGCAAATTGAAATAATCAGGAGCTAGAACTGCTATTCGAGAACCAGAACTAACACTTTTTCCAGCACTGTATAACTTTCCTCCGTAGCACACAGGTATTTCTTACCTTCCCTCTACTTGTAACACTAAATTGCAGCCGTAAGAGTCCAAGTGGCAGGGAGTGTTTGCTCCTTCAGAACCAATCCACAGCGTGCTCTCCCTTCCACTTCTTCCAGGAAAACCGAAGTCAGACCACTTTATATCCTACAGCAAAGAAAAGGTTATTTACCTACGCAGTTAATCTGTTTCAGACCTTACAGCCACTTCTCTGGTTCTCCTGTGTCCTCCTTCCATCTCTCCAGTCGCTCTTTTTCTTCAGCAGTTATTTCTAGGGGGGGTTTCTGTTCCCCTTCCTGCAAAGCTCCCCTCTCTAGCAGGACTTCTGCCTTCCCAGCCTGACTGTGCAGTCCCAGGTACTGTCTCCAGTTCCCACCCCAGTCTCATATCACTCGGGTTACTTGGCCTGTGCTGTAGAAGGGTTGCCCAAACACTGTGGCCAAACAGGGCTGCTTTCCCTCCTTTTTAAACCCTCTTTTCCTCCACTCTTAACCATCCAACCAAAGCTCAGAATTGCTCTGATATAAGGCTTTTTAAAAAAGAGAGAAAGGAAGAAAGAAATGAAAAATCCCCACTCCCTTTCAAGCCAGTTTCATAACCCATGTGGCAGAGTTGCTCTGTCTCATTCCTCCTGAAAGCCCTGCCTCAGCTTTCTCCATGTATCCTGGAAACACAGAGCTCAGCCCAATTCTGGCCCAGCAGCACGTTGGTTTTTGTAAGCCCCACACTGCATAATGGACACATTCTGCTCCTGCCTTTGCCACTGTGCAGGCAGTGAACTTAAAAGCAACCCGGCTGCCCGGGGGCAAAGTGCAGCCTGTGAGCACATCTATGATGATTCCCATCCTGGAGCTTTCCAGTACATTGATCCTCCCAAAAGCAATCCCCTGGGGCTGCGAGCTGGCATGAGAGACGAGGAGGTATTGCTGGGGCAATGCAGGAGCTCGGCCGGCTTTTGCAGCGTGGCCCTGCACAGCTTGGATGAAGTTCTCCCACCTTTCTTCACCTGCAACCTGCAGAGCCTGGTCACATGCGTGGTGGAAATAATTCCAAATGCACCAGCCCGAGCGACAGGGGCCTTCTGGCTGAAGCACCAGCCTGAGCCTCAGGAAGCTGAGATTCAATTCCTGGCTTACTGATGGTTTTAGGCAAATCACTTCATCTCTGAGCTTTATATTTTTTTTCCATCTTGAAAAGGCAGATAATGATATTTGTTCCACTTCAGTAAAGCACTCTCGGGCTCATTCACACCACTGAACTTTGGGAACCTAATTTAAACTTGGCTCCTGCTCCTCTCAAAGCCTTGCGCTATCACCCCTTAGAACAGCCTCTCTCCTTCCACTGTCTAAAAAGAGAAAATAGGAGTCCATTCTCCAACTTGAGTATCTACATTAGCTGCTTGCAGACTCCTGAGTGACTCTCCCTTTTCCAGATCTACAGAGGAGATTAGACATTATTAACAAGAATGACTTCACCATGACTCTGTATTAACGAACCCTCAAAATGAGTGATAGCCTTCCCCAAAATTAGGTATTGCTAAAGATTTTAAATTTCAGAGCTATTGATTTTAAAAGTATCATTTGAAACAAAAATGCAGAAATCTAATATAAACATTTGTCAAAAGCAGCAAGAAATCAAGAAGAAAAAGTTGCTCCTATAGATTTCAGTAGCCATAAAATTTAAAATCCAATACAACTATTTCAGTGATAAAGTTAAGTGTAATATCATCTCTACACTTTAATCTCACACCTAAATAGCTTTTGTATTTTGTTACACTTTAAGTGGAAAGAAAGCACACATAATCAATATGAGATTTAAAAGAACTTTTTGAAAATGCTGCAGCGGTAGTAAATAGAGGAAGCGATTATGGGTAAAATAGTTTTTAACCAATGATCTGAAAAGAAGCTGGTAGGATTACTGAAATCTTGTCACAATGGGCTCCCTTTGTATGATAAAAAAAACCATAGCAAGAAGAAATGCACTAAAAGGTGTTCCAACCATAACAGATGGCACATTACTTGTGAATTATATTTATTTCATTTGCTACTTATAATGAAGTTAATCTCTACCCATATGTCACTTTAAAAGGTCTCATTTCTATTTAAACTTCATGCATATATCTTGTTTGTGATTTATACTCAAATTCTGTAATGAAATATCAACTGAACAAAAAATGTAAGATGCTAGATACTGCTCGTAGATTAGAATAATGGAATCATTACCTTAGCCCACACAACTGTAAATGATAAACAGTGCAATCTAAATTTCAAACAACTTCTAAATGGCCCTATTAATCACTACCAATAACAGATAGTTGGCCTTCTTTTCCCCTTCAAGTCACCTTAGGTAAATCTAAGTAAAATCTACAAGGTGGGGGGGGAAGGGAGGGGCTACGATCAAATTTAGATAAGAATAAAGGAGAGTTTCTAATAAATTCTTTTGGCTGATACAAATTGCGTAGCAGTGTTTCCAAATCCATCTGAGTCTGGAGCTGAGGCATTTCACTCCCAAGCCTGTGAAACTGGCAGATGACATACACCATATTTGCTTGCATAACACTATTGATTTTTTCCTTCCCAGATTTTGCTTTAAAAAAATCCATGGCATAACCATGATGCGTGTCTATTCTAAAATTACACCACAATCTGTTGCTTGTTATAGGTCAGGGGATGAGGTTGTGGCATAGTTCTTGCACACAAATGCAATTCGTAGAGCCTCAATTTTGTACTTCAATAAGTGTAAGGGGGGAAAAAAGGAAATGAAGGAAAATGCTTGTTTCCTTCAAGGATGCTTTTATTGACCGGATGAAGCAGCAGGCTGTTTAGGTCTTTTGTGCTGCTATTATCCTCACCATCTTATGCCATAAAGCAAGGAAAAATGCTGCGTTTCGAGGCAGGAAGAAAGCAAGCCAAGGAGGACTGCAGATCGAGGAAGTCATTCAAAGAGTTGGGGGATTTGGGGGATTTGCTGGAGCTCTGAACTTAAAGAACATAACCTGGTCCCGCAGTTGTGCAGCCTAAGCTGTGGGAACCTAGTCAAGTGTTCAGTGGGCTGCAGAAGGGAGGGGGAAGAAAAGGTATGATGGTCTCTGTGCCCAAACCCTCTTCTCTAACCTGCACGGAAAAGAAAAAAAGGAGACAGTCTGAAAAACATTAAGCACTGAAAAAATATATTGATTTTACTAGTATGAAATAATAAAATACATAAGGAGCATAGAAAATGCTTTCTGTGGAAAAAAAAATAATTCAAATCGGCTTATCTGTTCATCCTCCCTGCTATCCTGATGATACAGTATTTGCAGAGAATTCTGCTTCCATCTTCACATTTGAAAGTGTGGAAATGAGTAAGGCTTCCTCTACTAACCCTTCTTCACATCTTAATGTAAAATAGTGCCTTTGTTTAGCTGCCTTAATTCTTCCCTTTTACAATTTTCAAGGAGAAGCAGCAGGGATGTAGATGAACAAACACACTGAAATAGTAGTTAGTCTTAGAAGGAATAAAAGAAAAATGCACACACACAACACAAAAAGCAAAAGATAAAAAATCCACAGCTGTGAAACCCAGTATGGGCATTTGGAAATTCCATAGATTAGGTACTTCCACAGGTTACTTCACATGTTCTACTGCCTCCGTGAACAATCACAGTATAATAATGCTGCAGACCCAAAATCTTTTCCTGTCACAAACTGTTATTCTAAACATTTTAAGACATTCAGCTGCTGAGGTCATACATATGACTGGTGTTCCCTGACTCTGCTCCCAAAGGCCTCCCTCCAGGCACAGGATAGTGCTTAGCTAAATGGGGAAGCATGGCTAATTAAAATAATTAGTTCAGTTTTCTTTTGTGCTTTTGTTTTTAGGCATGTAAGGAGACCCAGAAGTTTAGATGGCTACTACTTGGTACTAGCTCTCTACTAGACTGAAAGGTAACTAAGAGCTTTTGTTTATTTTTTAAATAAATTGGATTGAAGTGGACATTTTAAAAGCCGTCATTTGAGGTGATTAAATTGGAAAGAGATAATATTAATGGTTTACCTGGAAAACTTCTGCCTTGTCTTCAAATAACTTGGCAATGTATTTGTAGTCAGCATAAGCCCAATATTTGGAGTATTCAAAACAACTGAAAGGTCCAGATAGGCAGGAAGACTGTCCACAACTCCAAGCCAAAAACTCTTGAAGCGTAGCCTCCACGTAGCTACACCTGGTTTCAAATTGGGGAACTAGAACAACGTAAGAAAAGGCAAATGTTACAGGAGCACTGAACACAGAACCAATAAAAGTAACACATAGTTTTTCTCCCAGGTTAAATGCAGCATGAAATCTGAAGTGGAATTTAGGCAGCTCATCTCTAGTCTATTAAATGTTTTTCATCACCTAATTCATAATTAATGTCTGAGATTATTGCTTTTTCATTAAGGTTTAAGTGAATGACTGTTGCCTTGAATTTCCTGTGAGCTACGAGTACACAAATAGTTACTGTTGCTCACATGCAAACCCTAAAGCACAGTAACTCATTCATATATCCAAGTTCCCTGAATAACTTAGGCTTTGCTTAGTCTTGCTTCCTAAACGTAAGCTGCAGGTATATTTGCCTGCCCGTCCTCCACGGATTAGTGTAGATGGACATGAAGCTTTCCAGCTCCCACTGAAAACAATAAATAAATCAGCACTAAAGGAACTAAAAACTAAATCTGGGAAGCAGAAAATGGAGTCACACTCATGTCAATGATCCCCCTGAAAGCTGTGCCCCTGTTTTTCAGCTGAGGATAGCGTGGTGTTCCCTGCCAGCTACAGCAGTGTTTACCAGCAGCATTTCTCTTCTGTCGTGCCTTGCTCGGGCTGGCCGGTGTAGCCTTTCAACTCAAGGTCAGGTCACTCAGAAGCCTACAGTATAGTCCACAACACAGCATATTTTATTTTACACTAATCACACATCTTCATTTCCCACAATTGCTGATTTTCTGATCTTTAAAGAGATGTATCTTTTGTGTATATATATATATATATATATAAACTCACTGTTCTATAACCACTACCAGAGGAAAAATTCCTGCAGCCTATATGAATGATGGTGACAGAGCTGTAATTTAATCTTGCGTAACTTCCACAGAGCTGTTCAAAAATGGGATCCTTTTACTGTTCTACAGTAGCTCTTCCTTCCTTATGCCCTGATTTTGTTATCATAGTAATTCCCATACAGTTTCATATATTTTTTTCTTATTCCGTTATGGCAGGAGAAGCATTTTTTAAAAACTTTATCACTAGCATTCTGTCATTTTCCACTGTACTAGCCTAGGCAGCAGTTTTTCTTCCCTTATAGTCAAGTCCATTAAAAACGTCAGATAAGCGCCAGCATTTGGCCGTATCCATCCTGGCTTTGTGCAGAGCAGGACTCCCTAACTATGAAAGACACACAAGAAATACAAAGTACTTGCAATAACCACAAGATGAATGTATTTGATTCCCTCTCTGTGTTGTAGTTCAGTGTGCTGCCAGTCATTAATGCAGTGCACATCATCTTACAAAAAGAAAGACTGATGGAAAAATTTGATAAAAGATATAAGCACTACTGAAGGTTGCTCAATATGTGAATTATTTTGATGAGAACAAAGAGGGCTCAAAGACATTACATATTTTCCAAAATAACTCTGGAGCAAGTATTTTAAAGGCAAGAATATCCTTCCTAGCTCACGGTGTATTTCACTCTGCGATTTACTTCAAAAATTCTAACTATGGAAGGCAAGACCATCTTCCCAGTTGTAACCACCCCTGGATAGGGTTCTTGGCTTAAACTATGTCTCCTTCATATCAAGTGCAGTGTGGATAGTTAGTGAACAATAAATAGTATTAAAAATGGTCTTTGGACAATCTAGAAGAATGGACTTAAGACTGTAACTAGGGTGCAAATGTCAATAGGTAACTGAAAACAAGAACATCAACCACTTTGCTAGTCCTGAATGACTAAAAGCTAAGATGTTTTGAAATTAATATTTTGTAATTAAGCCACTTAAGTCTAAAGCAAGCTACCAATGCTATCTGATGACATGGGGTCTGGAGTCTTTCCCTCTCCCATCCAATGCCTCAGACTGAAAGCTGAGGGATGGAGGAAGTACTTAGTCTTAGACAAATATCCTAAAGCTCTAATAAGAATGAAGGTGATTTGTCTCCTGTATTTCTTTAGATATAAGCTTAAAAAGAAAACTAAATGTCCATTCACAGCTGTTGAAGAATTAAAAAATTATTTAAATGAATAATCCAATCAAGATATAACCATTTAACTTTACATGGGAGCACAGGCACACTCACAAACCACAACCAGCTTCAGTTTCTAACTCAGTTCTCACCTTTACCTGACGTTTATTCAGTCAGTATTTATACTATATTCTCAACCCTTATATTCCGCAATTGAATGGTCATCCTTGCCAGCCATCTAAATCCAAACCTCAGAGGCCTGAATTCTTCACTTTCTTTAGTGGTAAAACATGTCACTTGGTGCCTCTTGGGCAGCTGTATAAGATGCAGTCTATTTTTTTCCAACTGTGTATCTGACAGGATCAGCTTGACATGGCATCTGTATAAAAAAAATTCCCCCAGAGAACTCATGACTCATAACTGATCAGCATGACAACCTCTTGCCCTCTACAACTTCTTTATGGAAAAGTCACTGTCTGTTCATTTTATTCATTCATTTGCAAAACCAGAGAAAATAGTCACCATGAGAAGTCTGTATGAGTTTTCTTCATGTACCTTTGTGTGCTTCAAAATGGCATTGGATAGACAGGCAGGATATTGCTGCACTTCTCTACCACAAACTTAACTTCTGATGCTACCACCCACTGTTTAGCTCACATCAGAAAAATAAATCTTTCAGTCTGGATAGTAGATATTTCCTAGATACGGAATAACTAAAGTAGTAGACATTTCCTGATTAAGAGGACCTTCACTGTTCTTCTAATGAACACAGGTCCTTTCTCTGGATGTATCTTGTCTCTGTCAGTGTTTAATCCTCTGATTTTTCCCCAACTGGCACATTCTGTTTAACTTGCACAGTCAAACATAGTATTATCAAAAACACAAACTCAGGTGCAGAAAAATAACTCGCACAAATAAAACAGCTAGCTCCCTTGTTTCCCATGTTTTACGTGCCAATGATCCTTGCAAATTAGTATGCCTCAGGGAGGTCCAAACTAACAGGAGAAGCAAATGCAAAATCTAACCAGCTTCCACAGAGGATCCCCTGTCTCCCTTTTTTCTTTCTTTTTTTTTTTTAATACTAGAGAATCTTCAGTTTAGGGGCCATTCCCATAGACTGCAGATGTGGCTATCAAGTAAGATGAGAGGTTGTCAGAGTTCTCGAAATATTTAGGACTCCTCAAATGAAACAAGTGGCTTAAACTGTTTCAGAAACTTTGAACCACACAACAAAACAAAACTACAAGGAAGAGAACAGTAATGCAAATGTATCTGATTCAATGTCAGGCGTGTTTTCAATCTAGTCTTAAGGCAATTAATCTGTTGTAAAAACTACAGGAATATTTAGAGAGGTTACTTTCTCTAACCACATCACTACCTGTACTGTGTCTGGGAAAGTTAGTGTGTTAGTGTGTGTGGAAGTTAGTGTTATTGGATAACACTAGCAAGAAAGAGAAGACCTCATGGAAGAAAAACGCTGTTAAGCACGCAACAGTGAGGTCAACCATCTTCCAAATGACAGTGGCATATGAAATGTTATTACATTATTTCAGACTCTTTGATGGCTTGGCTAATGGCTTCACTAATATATCCTCACAATACTGAATTTTATAGCAGCCCAAGTCTCATTCAGCTACAATATGACCCCTGAAGGCCTTACCCATCTTCCTGAAGACATTTCTAGCTTGCATTAGCATATAATGGTGGTTCCTGGAGACAAACTGATTGCTGCCTAGGGACTGATGCCTTTAGGAAAGCATCAAAATATAGACAGATGCAACTTCAAGATACAAATTCCAATTTAAATGCATTTCTTACTCCTAAAAGTTATTGTTAAATGGTGATTTATATACTAAGTTGGTAGCATCAATCCATCCCTTACCTACATCACACCTCGTCAATCCCATTGCAACCATTCCCAGTAGGAACACTCCCTCACAAAATGGCCTACTAATTAATGGAGACTGAGACTCAAACTATCCTTTTACCTCTACTTGTGCCTTTCATGTTAGAACTCAGGCATGTGTCACACATGGGCAACACCTACCTTCCTCCCTGCTGGCAGCCAGTACCTCTTACATCTAGTGCAGGAACAGGCTGACAGCTCACATGAGTATTTAGACACTGCCATCGAGACTTGTACCAACTCTACAGCTTGGTTACTCCATGTGTAGGTGATGAGTAAATAACATCTGCTTTCCCAGGGACGGCATAAAGATTAATTCATACATGCTGGTAAAATGCTTTGAAAACCTAAAATGCCAAGCATTCCCCCTAAAGCAAATTTTCTGTTTCATCATTTCCCTTTAAAAAAACGAGTGTGAACTAATATGATACTGTGAAGAAAGCAAATTTCATCCAATGTTGTACCTAAGATAACATAATGTAATCCTACTACTTCCATAGGAATGGTCTGGGCCTCATCTGGAGTCTCTTATGCAGACATTATGTTCCAAGGAAGAAGTCGTCCCGCTGAAGAAGGTAAAAAGAGTACAGAAAGCATAGCTAACCAGGCCTACAGAAACATGACTTACATGGAATATATTTTTAAAAATGGGTTTGCCTCAGAGGGGACAAAAAAAAAGACTGAAGGAAGACAAAAATATTTCAGTCAAAATGGGGAAGGCACGTGGCAAACTATATTTTGATATGCTGTTGGGAGGGTAAGGCACGAACTAAACCATGAATAACTTCTCAAGTGGCTAGCAGATTGCTGTCTTGGAGCGTGTCATTCCTACATCCTTCCTCCCTGGCATGAATCTCTGTCTGTTAATCAGCTAATTTTTAAAGCAGGCTGGTTTGTGGATATGGAGCTCTGCCCACACAAACATTTGAATCACATAAAAGACCAGGACCAACCACACACTCTACCAACTAACGGAAACTGAGCCGATTGATTGATTGATTGAATGCAGTGTTATCCTGACTTCCCACTAGGAATACACCCACAAGAAAGGCAAATTACACTGATGGCCAAAACCAACATCTTAAAAACACAGCCTGTGGTGAAAAGTGATACATTAAAGAGTGATCAATGATATAAAGCAGAGGCAGAGGACTGCAGAACCTAACAAAAGAGCTGGGAAACGTAGCACCAGTCCACTTCAATCTCACCTAAATCCAGTGTCTTCAAGCCTATCCGAAACTGTATTTTCTTTCCATCCAACACCGCAGAAAGGTATTTCGTATTCCAGTGCAGGGCTGGCCAGTCGTCAACCATGTTACAGAAGACTGCAGGTTGCTGTAGAGACATCACTATTTCCTTGGCTTTCTCAGGAGTAAATGGTTTGATATCTGCAGCTATGTAAAGAAACAAACAGCCGTGGATAGATAATTAATGTTAGATGAAGAGTTCTGCCATCTCCCACAGCATGGAAAACATTAATATCTAAAACTGCTTTTATTTATGGTTAATATTTTATGTATCACATGTACTATCTGTTTAGTCAAGCAGCTATTGCAAATACAGAAAGAAAATTCCTACGCTAAAATAAAATGTAAAGCTGTGTATTAGCACAAAGTATAAAGAAGTAATCATATGCTTAGAATTTCTTCTTGTAGCTTAGGCAAGAAACCACTGTAGTCATATGGTTTAGAATTAGCTTAACAATAAAAAAGATCTTACAGTTAATACCCAGTTAAGAGCATACAAATTTTATGAGTAACAGTCCTTTTGTATAGTATTCTTTCCAAGATATGCAGAGAGTTGTCAAAGATGGCAAAAAGCATTCCTATGCTTTTGAATTTAAGCAAAGAACTGCAGGGAGACCAAAAGCAGCAGATATATTTAAAGGAGTGTTTTAAAATTCTTTTCATCTGCAAAATTTTAGAAAAAGAAATTGTGCCAATCCAAGAACAATGCTAATCCAGATGTCGATTTAGTCCTTTGTTGTTCAGAGACTTGTATGTCCCACTGAAGCTGTCAAACTGGAATGCTGGCAACCTTAAATATACTCAGCACTTTTGCAATAACTTTTCTTCGGGGACATATTGAGAGGTAAAAACCTGTTTTAAAAAAGAAGCAACATAACAGCTTCACAGAGCTGAAGCAGTGGACTCCAAATCATTAATAATACATTCATTACTCTAACCTCTATGAAAGTCACCTCATCCAGAATTTGTATCCCTATAATGCTGTAACATAGCTAATAAATGTTTGGTTCCTATAACTCCTAGGAGCTCATTTAAAACAAGCAAACCCAACTTGCTCAATGTATGAGTTATGTCCTATCACATGCAGTGGGTTCAACAAATACATGATGAGCAAATTTCCTTTCTTGATGGGTATTAATTTTGCCTCTTGATCCCCCAGTGCATGGGTACAGGTAGTGGAGAACCAGCAAGACTGCTTAGGATGGGGGTTTAATATGGTCAGCATAATCCGGGTCCAGCCTCTCACTGACCTCGGGAGAAAACTGAATTCTTTTCTCCTTTCACTCCTCCTGATAATTCCAGCTTAAAACTTTAAAAATAAAGAGCTTAGCTCTTTTATATTAATGGCACGTAACATTTAAAAATGGTTCTCATTTTTTGACACAGATGACAAGAGGGATTTTAAGCGCTGGGCTGTTTTTTGACATTTCCTTGCGAAAGGAGAGCAACACTTGACAGGATGGTGTTGCTGTGACACAGGGATGGCCATGACACTTGGCCTGCCGTCTTGCACTCAGCACATTGCATAACCAGGACATAAGGTGGCCCCATGGGGACCATATGTCTTACCATATGGTCTTCCCTATCCCAGGAAGAAGATGCTATGGGTTTCCAAGAAAAAAGTTAGTGTACCTACAGGGAACAAGCTCAGACAGAGCAGAAAGTCCATGGGCAAGCACAACTGCAGGTGCAGCTACAAGAAAGCATGATAATAAGTTAAAGCTCAGCATCTCTCACTGCTTCTCTTGTGCAGTGATGTTGTTCAAAGACTCAAGTTAAGGCTCAGTCCAGATCTGAGCACCCTCACAGAGATTTATAAAAATCCTTCCACCTTGGACTGGTGCAACTACAATATTGTGCAGAAGCAGCTTTCATGAGCTCATGAGCGGAGCTGGCTGGCCTCAAATATATCTCAGATTTCTCACCTCGGTAAATGTAAGATTATTCCTAGTTAGGCTAAGTTTATCACCACACAGTTGTCCTTTTGACTGCTCTATTGTTTTTAAGAGCAACACATTTAATAATTTTAAAGGATACAAATCTAAAGAAATGCAAGAAACTGGTGGCACTTTGGAGGAACATTTTGCAAAGCCAGCTTTTATTGCAAAATATTTAGGTTCATCGTGTAACTTTAGTCAACAGTTGGGATGTGCTACAAAAGCAGGAACTTTACTGTGAAGCACAGAAAGACTCACTGAAGCCAATTGTTGATTCTGTGCGGCTTTCTAGTGCGATTTCCACACGTATGTTGTGCTTTTGAAAGGTGTGGGTTTAACCACACTGAATACAGCTGGAGAAGCTCAGAGCTCAGGCCACAGGGGGAGGTTGTAGCAATGCCAAAACCCAGCCCATATGTTGACTATGCAGCCTTTCCTCTTCTGAACGGTAGCTGCAGTCTTTGGTCAGGTACCACACTTCATTTAAGTGTGAAATTTAGAAGCAGTGAAAAATGTCAAACAGTTCATCTAAGTAAGATGCTAGTCTTTCTTACCTTCAAACAGTATTAAAATTATTGTTTAATCAGTATATACCTTTTCCTGACATAGATAAAAGAATCACATACAAATACATATAATCAGAAGTGAAGTTTGCTTTTGTATGAAACATTTTAGAAAATATAAAGCAATAGATAAATGAACATTTAGTATTTTTGTGTTTTTTATGGTTCTTTTTTTGTTTGTTTGAAAATACATAAGTTGAATCCAGGAGGTTTTGTGCAAAGTATCTTTTAAGTGTCTTGATTCAGAGCTTTATGTATTGCATGGAGAGAACAGTAAAATGCAATTTACAGTTAAACATAATTCCTTCTCTATAATATTTCTCATACATATCTAAATGCTTGCAAGAGAAAAGGCACACAATAAAAAGAAAATATCAAATACACCATCAAATACTATGATAAACTGGAGAACTTTGAGCATGGCTAATATAGATTTCTGATAGCAGTATATATCGCAGGAGTGGTAAAATTCAAAGATATATAGATATTTCTTGAAAGAGATTCCACCAGAAAACAAACAAACAAAAACAACAACAACAAAAAAGCAGAAAAAAATAATTTAAATTAATAATCTTTTCCTCAATTATTGTTATTTATAGTTTAACAAAGACCACACAAGCTGGCTTCTTGTTTCCCAGTGTTTTCTAACCTGAAATTGAAGGTAATTGATTCCTACGCAAAATCTAGGATTATATAGCATAGATAAGGCATACAGATGGGACATCGGCATGTGTAAATAAAATGTGTACCAAGCAAAAAAAATGTCCATGGTACCTCTTGGGCATTAGAGAACAAATTCTCTATAGAGAACAAATGGGGGAAATCAGACAAAAAAAGAGGGAATGGAGATGCATATTCCATTCAAAAAGAAAAAAAAAATCTATTGGCGTTTTCATTTTCTCAGTTGTACTCTCATCCAAGGGGGGAAAAAAAAAACCTTTTTTTTTCTTTGTATCAGGCTTAACAAATGATGTACCTAGTACAAAAAACAATGGGAATAATTTGTCCTGTGTTTTGAGGCAAATACAGGACAGGAACAGAATCCAAACAGGACTTAAAAAATTAACTAAGTTTTAAATAAAGGTTTGTTACAATGATAATTGCCTAAAAATTGAGATGTTCTTCAGAAAGGTAACAGCTTGTGATTACACTGCAAACTGGTGATCTTAAAATACTCCAATGGTCCAGTCATCCTTATGAGAGATTGTCAAATACGAAGCTCATCCAGATCTCAGTGCTGAGGGCAGGTAAAAGCAGAGTAACACATTTGCTAAGTACCTTCCAGATGATTTTGTACTTCTAAGAGAAATAAATAATTTTATGTTTCTAATTAACATTTTTCTGAATAGCTGAGTGGGTCTTGGCAATAAAGAGCAAGCACAGCAGGCAGTCTGAATAAGAGTGGACTTGATCAAAGTTGTTCAGAAGTTAAATGCACTATCATTATAAGTGATGCACTATAACATACTGCCATTCCTTTAAATAATTTAGCAAATTAGAAGAGTTCATTAGTGAGTGGTAGTGTTAGTTGGTTTCTGCCAAAATATCCTGCTGCTTAAATACGAGAGTTAATTGAGAGGTATTAAAATTATTTTCTAAAAGAAGCAGTACATGGAAATTCTGATAATATATTTGGCATAAGCATCATCAAAATTGTTTTATTCTTAATTCTGTAATGTTTCATCATCCTAATTTCTTTAAGTTAAAAGAGAGATTTTGTGTTTTGAATATATTAGTACAGAGCAATCAAGTCACTCACAGGAAGATCAACTCATTTTAAATATCCAACAACTGAGTGTGGGAAAATGCAGAGCAGGGTAGAGGAAATTCCCCAAAGCAAAAGTGAGTAGGGTGGGAGGTCAGACTTAATTATTTTTCAGTACATTAACTCTGTAAATTAAAAAAGCAAATTTAAATAATTTGCATGTGATTACAGTGTTTATGCACTATAATCAGTCTACTCTGGGCAGAGTGCATCTAAAAATATCCATAAAGTTTTCAGGATATATTGCAGGAACATCTAAGCATGCCTTCTTGACCAGTTATTGTTACTACTATTTTTGACTCTGGGTACATCTATACTGCAGATGCAGCTTAGCCTAGGGGTATCTGAATTACATTTTATTCTGACTACTGAAGAATAGTTACTTCTTGCACAGAGCCTCTCCGGATGAATAGCTCATACATTTCTGCATGGGTATGTAAGGTGCTGCACACTAAGGTCCTTGAAGCAAACAGATCCTACCTTGCCAGGAAAGGAAGTTATATGTGCACTTGCTTTCCAGCCTTGCTGCAACAGAGCTGAGCATCTTGCATCACAGTTTTTCTTACAGTAAGTCGAAGTAACTCAAGAGAAGAACTAAGATAAGAGCTTGGGCTTTGCCCTCAAACCTCAAATTGTCCTTGTGATAAAAAAAAAAGGAAGTAGCTAAGAAGCAGAAAACAGAATATGACACTGCAAGGGATTTCCAGTTCCCTGCTCTAAATGACAGCACACAATCCCACACGTAAATGTACCAAATTCCTTTGTAAATCCCCTAACACCTCCTGTCAAAAAGTCCAGAACTCATGGGCAGCTTTGTCCACTGTGGTCTTTTCTCCTTCCACCTTGTATGGCACTTCTAAAAGCTGTGTTATATCTGGTTCAAGTAACTAAACAGACATTCAGTGATCTCCCCTAGCAGTAGACACGCTTTCCTTTCCCTTGCTGTCCTTCTGCCATTTGAAATCCCCCCTCCTGCAACAGGCAAATTAGAATATGCACAAATGAGGGAAGTGATACTAAACATAGAATTATTATGGTTGGAAAGGACCTTCAAGATCATCGAGTCGAACTGTAAGACTTTCAACACCATGCCTGCTATAGGGAAGCTTCCAATGAACTCTGTGTACCTCTAGTTCACATCGTTTTCTTTTGAAGGAAAAAGCCATGGTCTTCGACTAAAAGCTTCCCTCAGAATATAGAAGATTTTACTCTACAGGGCAGTAGATGATCTTTCTTAAAGAAGGCTGCTACAAAGCCGCTTTTTGGTCCATGTGGCGTGCCCATTACACAGTTTCCTCTGCTGTTGAGGAAATTTAGTAGCAAAGACGGTCCTCCCTATTGCTTCACCAAAACTCATATGTACTCATATGTCTCCCAACCTGCTTACCAGATGGAAAATATAATACAAAACTAAATATTAAAATAATATTATGACTGAAAGCATGGAAACTGGGACACCAGGAAATGAATATCTCTATTTCTAAGAAAAAAAAATGACCGTGTTTTAAATAGAGTCCATTTAATTGTATTCTTTTTTATACCGTTCTAGCAATAAACATCTTAAACTGATTAATGCACTGTAAAAATTACCTACTAAAGATTGCAACCATCTAGCACTTTGCTGTTGTCCTACACTGTAAACACAACTGATAGAACTTTGAAGTGACAGAAACAAAAAAATCTAAATCTTCTAAAAAAAAGCACCCAGCTTTTCCATAAGCATATTGCAATTAATAGTCAATAATACAACTGAGTCATTTTAAATTCGATCCAGAAGGGGGTTATAATAGAAGTATACACGACTTTGCTCATTGCTATGAAATATAGAATACACATTATGGTTAATGACAAAGTCCTTTAGAGATATAATTGCCAGGATTAAATGATCCTTTAAATAAGTAAGTATTCATGAATGACATAAATTATTCATTTGAAAGAAGTTGGAAAGACTCTCCATATGAACCTCAAAAACAACGGGTTTCCGAAAAGCACAATAAATAATGTAAACAATCAGGAAATGAGACCCTGTGATTGACAATATTACTATAGGAATATTAAGCAAAAAAAAAAAAATGAAAAGGCACAGCCATGTTATGCAGTTGCTTATCTTTCACCACCTTATAATATAAGCTGCAGTTAGTGGTGTCAACATATCTTTACCATCTTCCCTCTGGAGATTTTTTCTCTTTTATTTTTGAAATAACCACCACTTATAAAGGGTCTTTATCTCGAAACACCAATAGCTAAATATCATCTTCAACAGAAAGATCAAGGACTCTTTAGGCTCAAATCTCCACTCATATGCAGAGAACTCTAACTGGTTCCACCTGTTTTTCTGAAAATTAAAGTTGCCTTTAATTTTCGAGGCAACTATGACATTGCTGCTGATTTGAAATCTGGAAGTTTTGTGATATGCAAAATATTCCAAAACTCAATATTTATCAATATTAGCATACCTGGCAAAATCCTTTCACTAAATGAGTTTTGATATCTTCAGATTCCTCTCAAACACTAATGTCACCGTGTCAACCACTGACTAATCCAAGGTTAGTGCCAAGAAGCAATAAATGTCCTTTTTTACCTCAGTCTTTAAATGCACATTTCACAGACATGTTGTAATAATGAATGTAAGATAACACATGAATAATAGAAACACAATGAATTAGGCTGAATTTGCACTTCTCATGTCTACCTTGGCAGGGTAAGCAACCAACTCCCACTTGTCAGACTGGAAGACACCAGTGGAAGCAAGGGAGTAGAGCATTGTATCCAATACAATGCAATAATTTCTCAGATTCTCAATTCTACTATCAATGATTGGTGTGTTGTAGCCATCTAGGCTTTGCAGCAGCGTCACGCTTTTAACAAACCAGTCAAAACTTTCAGTTTATCTCAGTAAACAAGGCCTAAAAAAGGACAGACTAGGTAACAACTCATAAATGGATCAGCCAGGCCTGCCTCAGGGTTGGGGGCAGCAGCTGGCAGCAGAAACAGCTTCAACCATATAATTTTTATCCATCAGCACTTATCTATCAGAGCTCGAGGCTACTCCTTCTCTTTATATGAGGTCCAGATGGTCTTGGGCTGGACAAATGTGCATAAATACAGACATTTCATGGTTTTGACTGATAACTAGAAGGGCTTCCTTGTCACAGTTATGGATCTAGGTGTCTTAAGTCCAGACAAGTTCTGTTGTGGCCATTCAAGTTCTCTGCCAGGAATCAAAATAACCTTTCCACTTGCTTGAATATATATGCAATTCATCTGATAATACCCAAATCTCCTTACCTACATGCTAGTGAAGTCAAAGCAGGAAAAGATTTCCCCACCCCAGATATGACAAATGCCAATAATGAGAACAGTAGAAATGTCATCACATGGAGAAAAGAGTGAAATTAGCATATTTAGAAAAGTATTATACCCATGAGGGAAATAATGCAATCAGCTAGCTGCAAGATAAAGCTAATTTGGTTTCCAACAGTTTATCAACAATGCACTGCTCCTTTATGTTAACAAATTTAAATGGTACCATATCCTGCAAACAAGAATAATTCGCACAGAATATCGCACTGTGTTAATTAAATAGCTGGAACAGAAAAGGTCAGGCCATCACTGAAAGATCTGCACATGGGTTGCGAAGCAATGAAAAAAAAATAGTGATTTAAAGCCATGCAATAAAAATAAATTATTTAAATGATGATTAACTCCATAGTAAATAAACCTAGAGTTACCCAGTCTATTCTAACACTTCCTTTCTTTTCCATTCCTCTGTTCCTGTTTCTCACAGAATTCTTTCTTGCTGATCCGCACAAGAGTCAAAATGGCTTTACAACTGTCATATGATGAGGTAGTGTGGATGAATTATCTGTAAGCTATTCTGCTTATATTGAAGTTTCCATTCTAATATGTAGGTATTAAGAGGTTTGATAGATTCCTATTGAACCCCACAAGAAAACCACCCTTGCCTAATTTCTGTATTGTTTTTGTGTTACTGGAATCATCAAGAAACACCTAGATCACTGCTGTTGATTGGAAATGTCTCTGAAAAAGTATTTTCCCACTTTGTTTACTTTTGCAAATGACAGCCGGGATGGATCTCCACTCTGCCAAGCTGAAATTGGTGTTTCTTGGCACGAGCTGCCACACGCGTGGATGTAAACAGGCAACATAACGACAGGAACACAAATTTGCACCTTTTTAAGGGGAGGGAGTTTCTAAGAGGCCCGAGCAGCCCCCGAATCGTTGCACGGCCG